CTCCGCTCCGCACCGGCGCAGCCCCGTTGTCAAATTCTATAGAAAACTAGCTGTGCCCGCGACTTCGTACGCGTGAAAACCCGTTTTCGCAACATTTTTCATTGTTGCTCTGCTCTTATTGATCGTAGCGTGATGTATAGTAACTAACACTGAAAGAATTTTTCAAATCGCACCAGTATTTCCGGAGATCAGCGCGTTCAAGTAAACAAACAAACAAACAAACAAACTCTTCAGCTTTATAATATTAGTATAGAAGTATAGATTAATCCGCCTGACACTTCTCCGCTCCGTTAGGTACGCCTTGGTAGAAACCAAGCCTAATATTACATAGAAACCCAAGAATGGCCACTAAAGTAAACGGAGCAAGGTCCAGAAATTGAAGACACCTTTTCTCTAGTGATTTGTATTTACCTGACAACGAATTGGCTGTAGGGATCTGCCACGGGCAATTTCTCAGAAAAAGGTACGACACTTGTTTTTATGGCTTTAGTTTCGTTGGTGTAAATCACATGGGCGGATATAAATCGTGTGAGAGAAGTTTCTTTCATGTAAGTAATTCAGGCTTTAAGTTGTTATCAATTAAGATAATTTTTGTCATCATGATCAGTCATTCATGCAAGACCTTTCTGGCTTCTTCCAATGATATCCAGTGAGTGAGCCTAATCTTTTTGTTTTTGTTTTCGTTTTTCTTACATTTATTATTTTTAACTTTTTACCAGGAATACGAACCCACGACTTTATGGGGTTACCGCTCTACTGAGCTATGTAGATATTGGCTGATTTTTCAACTGAAAAGTATGTTTTACATAATTGTTTTTATTATTTAAAACAAAACCTCTTACGTTAAGTTGTTAACAAAATAATTGTTATCCAACTTCATTACCCGAATTTCGTCTGCTTAGTCTGCGTAATGAAATATTAAAGCGCCCAAAAGCTTCTGGTTACGCAATTCGCGTAAACTCGTCTCCCAAAAGGTCATTTGTGACAGCGTAACATACGTAACAGGGTTGGCACTTGAATGAGCTTTTGAGTACTGTAATTTTAGGCAACTTTGTTAACTTTATAGCACGGTAATTGTCTTAACGTTTGTGTTAGTAGCGCTTGGCCTTAGTTTAAGTTTATTAAACCATCTTTGTTTAAAAACATTAAGGCGTACAAATGGTCTATAAAGGTCTACGACTTATATGCTAAGCATGAATGGCTCTATTCTGGCCTGAAAATATCTCTGCATAACATTTTTATAACACTTTATATTGACATTTACAGTGAGAGCCAAGTTTACCAGCACGACACTTCTCGTAAAAAACAAAGTCGATTGAAATACTGTAGGTATGGCCAGATATTCCTTTTTTTTCATAAGTACCTATAGCCAAACTGCGAGTCAAACGATTCTGAAACATCAAGAGGCATACATCGGCACTAATGTTCTCAGTATTACTACTATTACTTCAATGTTTTCCAATGTTCCAAAAATCAGAACTTAACCCAGAAACCCAGTATTGATAGTAGCGCCCTCCTGTCAATGTCGGGGTTGCACCGGCTGGGACGGTTCAGTGTTCATCAACTTTTTAAAATCAAATGACATTTAACTTTCAGTTAAGTTACTGACAACCCTATTTTAAACTTAAGTTAGTTTCATGCTGCTGTAGGTACATTACAATGTTGTATAATGTTAAATAAAGTACCCAGTCTAGTTGAACTTTCAAACAACGGCTCACCCAGACCTTGAATTTGATGGACTAATGTTCTTTGTTTGGAAACATCACTAATTTCGTGGTAATTTCAATTCCATTACTGTATTTGACTTTGAACGTTTTTGGTTCGGGGAATTTCGTGTAGCGTACGTTTGCCCATGTTTTATTTACCATTAGAATACCTGGTTTCCACGTATGTAACTTAGGTGATTACTTTCTCATTAACTTTAAATGTCACCAAACCTAATAGTAGGTATACCTAGTATGGTGTGTACGTATAATACCTACCTACCTATATCTAATTTCAGAAAAAAAAACCGGTAACATTTTGTTGAACTTTGAATTCGAATCGAATACATGGCATTTATTTTTTACTAATTACTACGAGAAAAATCTCAGCGTATATCTACCAGTTTTAACTTTCTGTTAAATAAAATGAAGATCATAAGTTGGACGCTATGCGGACTTTTTCAGCATCGTCAGAGAAATTAAAACTGGAATCCTGCTTTGTCAAATATCTAAGGAATGGCTTACAGAAGACCTTTTCGTAAATGAACTTATGCAGCTACCTACATCATACTACTTGTAATATTCCTCTTACTTATTTCGTAATAGACAAAAGCCCCAAAATGTGATGATTTTATTTTCATTTAGTAGGTAGGTATAATTATGTAAAATAACTATCAATGTGACCAAAATGATCGTTTTAACAACACGGGTTGAAAACGACAACGGTGTGGTTTTGGAAATCAAATTCATCATTATCGCCTACGATTATAGACACGAACCGTGCTTCCATATTTTATTCAGGCAACACCGCCACTTGAAATAATAACGGTTATTAGCGGTCATTTCGAATGATTTATGCCTACCCTACACGTGTTGATTCTGAATATATTAAGGTAGGATTTTGGGATTTCGGATTGATTAAACAAAAACTATTACTTCAGTCTTCAAGCACTAAAATGACTACTGAGCCTAAATGGACATGCAAGATATTCTAAATAATAAAAAAGTAAAGGGCTCTTCATGTTTTCAGTTGACATAAGGTCCTATGTCCCCTAGATGGGGCAGAGGGCGTCCACAACAGTCCTCCATCGTGTTCGGTCTTGAGCTTCGCGCTTGATCTCGCTTGGTCTTGCCGATTTTATTCACCTCGACTCGACATGTTTTCAGTTGGTTAGCTGAAAATGTCGGAATAAACTTATTCAGAATAAATGGTACAGAATTACAGTAGAACTTGAGACGGGCAGACTACGTTAACAGAAAGTAGGTTAAGCCGTAACAATAAACTTTAACACCCGTATCCACAAACGATGCTTACTTGAGTGAAGCAGCAAATAGAACGCACAGCGTTGAATAGAGCTCTGTGATTGGTTCATGTGCGCGCACTGTGAGACCTCATAGTGATGTTTGTGAATATGGGCGTAAATATGTTTCTATAGTATCATATACCTGATACAAGATAAGTCGCCTAAGCCTAATACTTATCCTCCTCAGATATATACGAATAACAATACTAGGATAATTTACCTCTCAGTTAATACCACTGAGATATGTCATTCATTAGAGAGAATGTGTCCATGTGTGACCACAATTATCAGTGATTGATTGATCAATTTGCTTTGTCGACGCACTCAATACAGCTGTACGTTATTATGGGAATCATAAGTATGATTGTGATCGATTTACCTTAAGTAGGTAACATTAAGTTGTTTTGTAAAGCTACCTTAAAATAGAAATTGAATAGGGGCACATTTCCAATGAAAATAAGAAATGTTCCCTTAAATTTTCAATTACAAAGTTCCGGTCGAGAGAGCCCATCCAGATTGCTTTAAAGGCATTTCCAATAAACCGAAGATCTCCATTTATATACGAAAACGATTGTGATAAAGCGAACCAGGTTTTTAGGCAACTCCAGCTGGATTTAAAATATTGGCATGAACTCTAAACGCAATTAGCAAACCACAAAATAAAAGAGAATAGCCTAAATTATACTGAATAATCATTTCTTTTTTTTATTTTTCCATTATTTAAAATTATGCCATGTAAAAACGCTTATTAAAAGCCTAAATTGCAAAAAAAAAAAACTTTTATGAATCGTATAAAAAGATAAGAGCCTTATTTTTATAATGGAATAAAATTATAAGATAAACTTAGGCTGTATTGCACCATAAACATCAAGTCTGTTAAACTTTATACAAAAATCTTCTAAATCACTGGAATAACCAGGCATTGAACGTCATTATGTAAAAAGAAAATTATTACCCCTGTACCATCAGCATTAACATCAAAGGAACGCAAGCTATCTTATAAATAAACGTAAACAAGTATATTTTCTTTTTATGATCAAATGCTCTTCGGGATGCTGTTACTTTAATGCTGACTGTACTGTAAATAAAGGCAAACGTGAAAGGTAAGCTTAGCACAAACAACCCCTTAGGTTTGTAACAAAACCCTTTGTTCTCTTTTGGATTAGAAGCCGCAAAAACACACGTGTGTTTAGCCAACTTTCAGGACAATACCTGAAAGAGAGGCTTTTGTTTCGTAAAGCTAAATACACGGGCGTTTCGTCAATATGGACACAAATGGAAATTGTAATGTTTTTGGAACATATGTACAACGTATGTTGACCAGGTGTGCTTGCTACTTCGTAGGAGGTGGTTAGTTACCTAATAAAGTAGGTACTTGTTCCTGAAAATGTACAATGGAATCAACGATATTTATATTTGCACAGAATTTTCATAATATTGGTTCTCTTCATAAAAGTGTGAAGCCAACTCGTGAAGACTTATTTAATTATTATTGATGTTCTGTCATGGAAGGCTGACATGGCTTAATTCAACAAACGGCTTAACGTGTCCTTCACAGAATGAGCACGGGTATTTAAATTGGTAACTTTCATAAATATTATAATGAAGCTTTGCTGTCGGTACTTTGTTATGTTATCTAACAAGAACTTTACTTTATAATGCTTTGAAAGTTTGCAGTTAGTTAGGTTAAAGTTTGTAAGTGGATAACTTGGTCAACTATATTCTGCCTGGATTATCTTGATACTATGGCAGTAACAAACGGTGGAGTTTAGAGTGCCGTCAATTTTGGTTTCGCTCCACCATTTTTGTTCCTTCGAGCCGGGTACTAAATATATAGACTTTATTTAAAGGGCGTCACGCGTCCATCATGACAGACCACTGGGAGCAGGTGGCGTGGAAATGCTATTTTTGGTCCTTCGAGCCGGATTCTAAATATATGTATAGACTTTATTTAAAGGAATTTAAAAGTAAAAATACGTTGTTTGTTCCAGCTGCTCCACAGCGATGCTGTGCGCTTCCATCATGACAGACCACTGGGAGCAGGTGGCGTGGGAGCGCGCGGCTGTGGTCGCGCTCGCCAACGCCTCCAACACCGCACTGCAATGGTTCCTTGACGATAAAGTCGCTAAGGTAGGTTTACAAATACAAATAGTTTATTCAGTACATAGGCCCTTACTAGGGCATTTATACACGTCCCAAATATAGCTTGCCCTACCACTAATTCGGGACAAAATATGGGCTGGTGCTGAGAACAAGCGGCGGAAGAACCACACTCTATCTATAGATGTTTTCACGAAGACGCCCTCCACCAATTTTTGGTCGAGGGAAGCGCGGGGTGCGGGGAATTTGATCCGAGCAATCCGAGCGTCATTATTGTAGTGTGCGTGTGCACTCATGGATAATTTAGCAGGTATCGATAGCACTCAGACATTAACGGTAGAATGGTGGGGCGCGTCTTCGTGGATGAAACGGTCTATAACTATCTTCTTTACCCGACTGCGCCAGAAGGAGGGTTATGTTTTTTATAGTCCCATAGATAAAGAAGATGGATTTAATTTCGCAAGTAGTTGCGCAATAAAAGATGTGATGAAGTGATTACGGATTCCAAACGGACATTCATGAATGTTACGAGTAGGTACTTTGAAAGCAGATTAGAGCCCAGATTAAAGAGAGTACAGAGCGGCGCCTTTTTGTATGGGCATGTTTTTGATAGCATTATTAACTCTACAGTCAGATTTATAAACAATTGCTATCGATTTTTTTATAGTTTACTCTTATAACTACTTCTTCTGGTTGCGGACACTCCTCTTCATGAAAACTACTAGAAATTCTGGGCAACCAAGTTCTTGACCTATTAAAACACAGCTAGATAGAGAAAGTAGAGGTAGATTTACATGCTCTATATTATATGCTGTAACAACTCTGTCGGATTTTATAAGCCTTCAAGGCCATATAATATGCCTCAATCAGACCGTGCCCCGTACCACGGAACATCTTTCTTATCGAACAGGTTGATTCAAACTTTCAATGCCGTTGTGATAATAAAAACATTGAACGGTGGGAACAACCTTCGATGTAATGTGTATTATCAAAGTACGTTCATGTGAACACTAACAGTGGTTAAACATGGGTTTGCTTCAGTATCATTAAATCTACTGTTTGTTTAATGGACTAGTAATTTGTAGAGCGTAACTTATTCAGGCCATTTTCTGTTTAGCCTAGGGCGTATAATACCTACGAGAACTAGGGTTTTCTAGGTTGGGTCTAGACTAGAAGGTCAGTTACACGTGGTCCTAATGTTTGTTCGGCGTCTTATAGGTCAACGACATGACGTCGTTGGAAGTAAAAAGAAAATAAGTCTGGATTTACGAGTAGTACCACTCTTTGGTGTGCCTTTCAGTAAACCTAATATAAATTATGTGGTCAATAAACATGTACAAAACAAATTGTTATAAAAATAAACAAGAACCCTTTTGTAGTCAAAACCATAGGCTTGAAACATAGAAGTCATGAAACGTTTGTGGAAAAATAACCCTTAAAACTTAAACACTAATGCCCGTTTTCACCATCAATCCCTAAGTTTAAAGTGACCCCTATGGTAACACAGTCAGTAATTTCGTTTTCATAGGGGTCACTTAAAAATTAAGGACTGATGGTGAAAACGGGCATAAATGTATTTTCTAAAGTCACACAAAGTAATAAATCTGAAACTTATACATTAAATTGTAACTCACCAGGCTTGATTTCGAAGTGCCGCTTTTCAAAAGTTCGAAGAAACTTCAGACAAGTACAGAAAGTACCAAAATTTCAGACACTGAAATCTCGTCGAGCTTTACAAGAGATGACACTTCTTGAAAAGTACTTTATTGTCCCCGTATTTTATGTGATGGGCGGTTTTATGAGAATATGCCTAACATTAAACTAAATTATTACTGATGTTACTACGTAATTTATTGCTAAGGCTAGTACCAAGAGTTTCTTCACGCGATTTCACCTTCGTAATGTCATAGGAAGTTTTTATAAAAAAACACCTGTAAATAATGAAGACAAGCTGTTCTCAATAGTGTTGTTATAGTACCTACATAGTACTTATGGCAATTTATTGATTGATATTATTATAGTTACTTAATACTCTACATATAGCAAATTAAACATAAAACTCACATTTAAAATCACGTGAACTGCATATTGTTAAATTAAGTAATTTCAATAATACATTGAACCTGCATTCTATGCATGATGTAGGGACTTAGGAAGTATCGCTAATAACAAGAGCATTAATATCTTATGATATTGCAGGTAAGTACAAAAACTATGAACTTTGTCGTCAAGTCTACCTAATTTTACCGCTGTCATTAGAGGCCAGCCTAGTTGACCCAGAAGCTTGCAAAGGTTAGCTGTCTAGCAGAGAGGACATGAAAGAGCCCAAAAATAGGCTTTTTTAAAACCATATTCAGCCGACTAAATATTAGCCTCGCTTCATGTTTTTTTTTCGATTCTGAAACCTCCCCTGTGGTTACGCAGTTGTAATTCGTACCACGACAGAGTTTTAAAACTTTGCCTACTAATTGTATTACTTATTCAAGGCTCTTGAAATGAGCGCTTAGCTTGGGGAGCGACAAATAAATTACCTATTATGATTCAACAAATGTTTCATTGTCTCATTTGAATATTGTTTTATCTCTGAAATAACCCAATAATAAAGTTAAGAATTAAAATAGGCATGTAATTTGATCTAAGTGTCTTGAATTTATATTATTATCATGGTTGTTATGCGTCTGTATACTTTTCTGTTTATTCGTCTATTTAACTCATAGCAAAAATGACGACATTACCATATAATGTCTTTAGTTGCTACTGTAGCAATGAATTGATGGCAGAAGTAAATAAATCGCACTACCAACTCAAATTCCTCCATGTATTGACATAGTCAGTCAGCCAAGGCTGAAATTACCTACTAATTGATACATTCACTACTGGTATACTTTAATTTGTGGAACCTTGAAAAAATCTTGTTAATAACTGGCTGAAGCACTAAAAAAGAAATTAAAACACAGCTGTGCCGACTTAAAACATTTAAAACCCCGGCAATATTGTGACGGCAATTTGGTGACAACAATACAAAGAAATGCCTAGTCTAATTGATTACTTAGAAGAGAAGACAAAAGCTTGAGATCACCTGATGGTGAGCTTTTAACTACGGGAAACTACGTGACTATTTCTACCTCTCGTTCCCACCGCTGTAACTTATCTGTAACCAGGATTTACAGCTTGATCGCCAATAAAAACCCAAACAGTGAAGTTCAAGTTTGTCCCGGGGAAAGTTAAACTGTCATTGGACCCGCAACGAAATTAATCAGAAGAACATAGAGGAGTTCGACTTCCCTCGGAAAGTGGAGACATCCAAAACCACAAAACAAAACTAGCCGACCTGAACTGATTTTCTTCAGGCTTGTTTAGTATCAGAAATATTCGCAATTAACACCTAGTAAATTCTCAATTCCAAAACTGTCCTAATCCTAAATTAGTCTGAAAATTCCAATTTGTTTGTTTATTAACAAAGTTATGTTCTATCTCAGGTAAGCTTACGTTGAGCCCGACATAATTTTCCCAAACCTTGGCAATACGCAGCACGCGACGACACTGGAATACCAAAATAAACCCATAATTGAGTTCCCCGACCCCTTTCATTAGGGGGACGAATATTTATGTCTCATTTCCGAATTATGAACATTATGGGGACCTTGACTTTTTATAAGTTGCCGCGAGATTTCATGGTGTTTTATGGTGATAATCGGTTCTTTTATGGTGGTGTTATTATAATAGAGAGAAGATAAAACGCAAAGAAAAGTGTCTTGCCCGTCGGTGTTATGAAACGACGCTTAAGTAGGTACCTATTTGAAAGTAGATTACAAAAATAATAAATAAGAATACGAAGTTTTTGAGCTTCATCACAAATGTTTGATGATACTCAAGGTGGTAGAATTTCAGTACGAAGGGAACAATGACAGTCTTATACTTTTTTCACTAAGTTTTTCTCACGTAAATAATTAAATGATACACTTTCACTAAGCCTGAAATATAAAGTGCCAAGATTTCTATAAATAATTCTGAAATTTCGACAATACCTTAATCCATTCTTGGAAATCCTGAAATTGATGTTTTGTGTTTTGAACAGAATCGTGTTGCTAAGCAGAATAAGGCTGAGTTGCACCACCTAAACCTAACTTTAATCGTAACTATAACATTAACCGGTGTTTTTGTATGGAGTTTAACAGATTTTTGACGTTTGTTAAAGTCAAAGTAAGATGGTGCAACCCAGCTGAAGTAGCACAGTAGCTCTAGGCAGGTCTATTTTAATAACGGAAATATAGGTGTACCAGAATCTCATGGCAAACAAAAATATTGGAAAAGTGTGTTTTTCATATGGCAATTGTCTATGGTTTAATTGTCACCTGTCATTCCTGTCAAAGAAAATTATGAAATCTGTCAGCCGCTGCAAAATTTTTGTAATCTCTTCTTGACTGTTTGTTATTTTTGTGAAAAAGTCGAAAAAGTTCAAGCAACGCATATTGTTTTCAATGTGAATTGTAAAATAAGTTATAATTCAAAGTCAATCTTTGATTCTAAAGCGCGCGTCGAGTTGACAGTAAGTTGGACTGAAATGTTTTGATACATTTAGTTTATTACCCAACTGCGTCAGAAGGAGGGTTGTGTTTTTTTATTTTATTCTTACTTAATAGCTGCTTTATCGGGGTTTTCAGGTATATCTTACAAATTGGTGCAGATGTTATGATGACCATGTAAAGAAAATTGAAAAAGATTTCATCAAGCAAGACTGAATAATGCAGAAGTTTCTAATTTTTTCTTCTAAATAAACTTGAAATAAATATTAGTAAAACTAATAATAATTGTGAAATAATCATGAAAATATCTCTACAAATAAATAAGTTACAGGGCCCTAAAGTTGAACTATTCACGCAATTTTGATCGGTGTATTCACGACAGTCATTCGGAGTACAAACAGTAAATCACCCCTGATCCAGCCAGTGCTGTTGACAGGTTTAATTTTTCAGCTAGGGCTTTCAAGATTCTTTCTTAGTATTTTGTAACCTTTTTTTTAAATATCC